CACACACACACACACACACACACACACACACACACACACACACACACTTCTCTTTAAGGAACTGTCTTCAAGCCTCATCTGTGATAAGTTTAGTCTCTCCCCCTGGCATCAGTGATGCTGATGAGAATCAACACGCGGTGTGTGGAGTGACCCTCCGCACTACACACACACACACACGTGCACACACACACAGTCAGGGGCATAACTCGCTGCGACCCTTCATTTGGACTTTTGTGTGCCATTTCTTGTTGTTTTTTACCAACTTTCCAAGAAGTCAGTCTATTGTGTTGCATCATAACAACAGTTCAAGCTATTCTGAGTGAAATACAGAGGGTTATTTCAAGTTCGGTTTAAATATAATAAATTATATAACCCTTAATAACCTTTTAACAACCAGGTTTCCAGCAAACATTTCTATGCTGAATAACCGCGAGCACTCGCTGACCATTTCTCCTTCTTTGTGTCAAGAGAAAGTTTGTGTATAAGAGTTGTTTTATATTTGACCAAAATGAAATTTTAAAAGTTCTCCATCAAGAGAAGAGTGAAAAAACAACAACGTATGGTTACTATGAACACAAAGACACTTTCTTACAGTTCAGATTTTTTAGCAGAAAGAGCAGCAGATACATTTAAAGTCTTTTATTTGTTTAACAAAACAAAATAGTCGATACTTGTCTGTGTGCATGAAAAACGTCATTGCAAAAGTCTGATACATATTGATGCTTTGTTTCTAAGATACAGTCCAGATGCACTGTAACATGAAAGTCGTACATCGAAGCTGTATTGAAACTGTCCACTCAGCCACTGGACTGAGCCATTCTGTAGTGCTGTTAGAAATCTCACTCCACATATGAAGTGTCGTCACAAGTGATGGTGTACTCTAGATGACCACACCACACCATTGTGTGTCAATAAAGTGTATCCCCTCCACCCGCTGTGCTCATCTCAGCTGCAAAGTTAACACTGCTGTTATTTAACCAGTTGCTGTGCGTTTGTTATAATGTTAAATATTTCGATTTGACATTCTGTCGCCTCGGCTCACCACACCACCGGCTGCCACAGAGCACTACGGTGTCCAAAACAAACCAGCCCAACAGCTAAAGAGTAGTCTGCAGAAGCCGTCGTCTCTCTGCCCGAGCGGCAAGAATTCAGAGACTAAAATGTGTTCAAAAGAAAAGATTTTGTAGAACTGATATATAATAGCACAGGGGGATGGATGAACGGACTTTGGGTATCACTGGGTCGTGTTTGTGAGGGACTGACTGAAACAGACAAAAGAGAGCTGGAAAAGTAGTTTTGCAGAAAGCTGCCCCTGCAGCATAAATCACTGCTCTGTGTGTTGATTCCTGATAAACATCCACGGACGTGTTACTCAGCCGCTGCTATAATTTAAATATGGCAATAACAACACATATTTTCAGATGACATCTCCTGGATGACTTTCACTGTGGTGCAGTTGGTTGCTCACAGAACGCTTCAGCGTGCATTTCTGATGTAGTACACTGCCCAGCAGAGAGTTTATGACTGTATCGACATCACACTCTCTATGATGAATGGATTTCTTCTCTGTTGTGCTGCGAGTTACTTCAGCGGGCTGAGATTTCTGTGCCAGCAGAACCAGCTCCATCCCAGCTGCTTCGGTACAGCTGGATTTACAGCCCATGTGTCCTTGTCCTTGGACACCAGTCCTCAGTGCTGCTGACGAGGTGACACAGTCTGTTAACAGTTTACATCTGTGACTTCAGTAAGCAGAAACTAAACAGCAGTGTTTTTGAAAGTCTCCGAGCTCGGCTGTGAGTGCTGAGCTGTGTGTTGTCTCCAGCGAAGCAGCCTTAAATCCCTCAGTTGTTCCACTGAGGCTCGGCCTGCCAACAGTCAGTACAGACGACTATTTTGTCACAAAAAAGACCTTACTGACAAAATAAGTTCAGTCATGCCAAATTATGGCAGCTTAGAGGCAGGACCAAAGCCTTAATTGGCTGCTCATTCTCTGTCCTGGCCTTCTGAAGCCTCTGCTGTTTGCTTTAGACTCAACTCCCTCCATCTCTGTTGCTGTTCTGCTGGCAGGCTCACGGCTTTTAAGATCTCAGTGAGGCGTATTTTTGGATGGCTGAAGAACGCTTGAAGGAGCCTCTTATCCCTCTCAGCACTGATGGCTGTGAAGCGTGAGCATCGGCTGATTTGATAAGACATGGCAACCTCTCTGTGGCTCATCTCTGCATGTTGTACTCAGAGAAAACAAACCCAGACTCAACCAAAGACAATGTTTTTGTTTTCACCATCTGCCTTCACGGTCACATGAAGTATAAGCATCCAGTGTCTTTCACACAAGCGTTAGTGTGCCATCAAGCGACCCGTGTGAAATTAGACCATTTAAAACAATTTACATTAAGTCTAAAAAGATGGCTGCATTACCTAGTGACAGGCAGACAGCTGATTTCAGACATATCGATTATTTAATTCTATTGTTTGATATGTTCTAAGGATTCCTGAAACAATGCATGAGATTTTTCCTCTTAAAGGCAGACAAAGCCCACTTCATGGGTTGAAGGTGAAGGTGCAAACACTTGGCAACAGCGGAAAGCAAGAACTCCCTTTTAACAGGAAGTGGAAGAACCAGACTCGGGGAGAGGCTCCTCTGCCTCGACCAGTTGGGGCTAATGGGAGGAAGACAGGACAACAAAGAGACCGTGGAAGACAGCCAGAGACTAACGATAACTGATGATTGAATGCAGTGTGATGTGTGATCACATAGTGACTGAAAAAGCTGATTTAAGAAGAAAACCAGTAGCCCAGGCCTTTGACAGTATTACTACAGTTACCTGACTATATCATCTGCAGATGATCAGATCAAAATTAAGAAATGAAGCATGACAGACACAGAAGTGGAAAAAAGAAATCAAAGTAAAACTATTGAGGTAAGTTAAAAATGGATTACACACATTAGTTTCCTCAGCATCACAGACTTCTATACAACCAGAGGACGGCCCCTCGGTGCCTGTTCAAACAAATGCACCTGTGTTTTTCAAACCAGGAAATCCGGTCAGTCTTTCATACTGTCAGTGTTCAAAACATAAATACAGGTCAATAAAAACAACCGGGGGACATGTTTTCTCAGTAAACATTAAGTTTAAACGTTGGTTGCAACACCAATAAATCCCAATATTTGTATGCAGCTAATCAGATTTGTGCACTTCTGCAAACTCATTAGCACGCGAGGACGTGACGTCAGCTAGAATGTGCAGCTTTGCAGAGAACGTGGGAGGAGATGTTTCCAGAGTTCTTATCAGTTCACTTTCCCTCACTATCTCATCTGTCTTTGTCAGTC